ATCAGACTCACACATACAAGAGACCCGCTGGTCTAATTATAGGTTTTAGAATTGGAGACCCGGGTCTTGTATACGGCAATTAAGCTAATTGACAGTCGCATTTGTGATCTTTTTTATCAATGATAAAAAATTTTATGCTATTTATTTACATATTCCTGAAATAAATTTGTTTTCTCAAAGGTTATATAACCTCTTATAATCGGATAGATTTTGTTTAAGGATTCATTTTTGTAAATATAAGTATATATATATATATATTAAAAAACTGTATATTTTGATTTCAACAGAATGTGAATAGGTTTGAATGCACTTCAAGTTTATAACGTTTAATATTTTAATTTGCAATGATGAAACCTGATTTACTGAAACTTACACGAAATTATAAGATTGTAATTTAACACAACCCTACATGTATGGTATATAGTACAGATTTGATATCACTATAATTTTAAATGATCCGTTATAAGAAAAAATGGCTTAGAACCCAAGTATTGATAGAAATACTCTACAGCCCAAATAACGGCTAAATATTCCAACTCAGCTATGAAGTAATTTTTCTCATGCTTATTCAAACTTCTACTCATATTATTAAAATTTACTAAATTTGATTGTACTGTACGTACGTACGGGTTAACTAGACTTGAAATTTTAATATTTATAAGTAAATACTCTTTTTAATGAATAGGCTAGAAAATGCTAGTATTGCTCTTTTTTTCATGTTAAGGCAAAGATAGATTATTGGAAAAATAACTGAAAATTTTTGTCTGTAAGTACTGTGCATATTATCATTACTTATCCACATCTGTCCTGCCTTGAGTTTCCATACCGCACTACTTTACAGATTACTAACGTACATATGTACAGTATATACGTGCTCACCAGAGCACAAATCTTATTGTAAAATGCCGGAGGTTTTCGTTTGCATGTGACAATTTCCGGCCCAATTTTTCAACAGACAGAATTTTTCTGTTTTGCTATAATAATAATCTACTCCGGCTGCGGTTAAATTCCGATTTAAAAAAAAACCATTGATAGAAAAAAGCACATTTCATCACTCGGAAATTTTGTGCACTGGTGCTCACCAGTGTTCGAAATTTCGGATTCTCCTGAGAGCAGTGCAATAGATGTAGGTTTTTTCAAGCTACGATTTTATGTTCACAAAAAAAATAAAAAACAACAATATATACAGCATATTAGAAAATAGAAAATATGTACTATAGTTGTCTTAGTATTAAACAAATAATTCAAATTGCTTAATAATAATAGATAAATAAATATTTATTAATTAATTAGATTAATACAGGTATATTTATTGGTTCTGGCTTGGTATGGCAACGTTATGCTATTATATACTTATGAGAACACAATTATTATTTTACTGTTTTCAAAAAAATTTTAAATAGTGAACAGTATAAATTTTATACGGTGCACAAATTTATAATGGTGTTCTCATGAGAACTCCGAGAACACTAATTTCGAACACTGGTGCTCACCTGTCCAAATTTGTATTACAGTACCGTCATGCATGACTTTACTATATATTCTGGAGTTAAACCATGTTATATGCAATAAAATACTCTAAAGTTCCTCTTGTAATGTAGCATAAACTTTATCAGTACGCTTCAATCGCAACTTTTGTTTCATTTATTATTATTTCTCTAAAATTAACCTTATTTCAAAATATGTTAAAAAACGATGAAGAGAACATATATAATATGTCGAGTTCAGACAAAGAATTAGCACGATTAATTGAAACAGGAGATATAGCAGAAAAATTTTTAACAATTGTATCTAATGTAGTGAATATCATTGAAGTAATCATAGTGTTATATAAGTCAACAGAATATAACGAGCATATTAGTAGTGCGATAATTCGTAGAATCACAGAGGTTATAACAGTTATTCGTTCATTAAAAAGATGTAATGATGAATATAGTGAATTTCTGAATTATCAAAGTTTTGAGACTATACAAATATTTTTATTTGATATTCAAAAAATGATAAAATTCATTAATAAAGAGATGTCATTAAATATATCATTAAAGTATATTCAAACAAATTATATATTTAAAAAATTGATGACAGAATTTGAAAGTTTTGTAAATTTTACAATTAATACGAAAACTCTTTCAAAGAAAAAAAGGAACAAGAAAAATAATTATAAGAAATATTTTAGAAATATTAATGAGGTAATTCATTTTTTAATTTTCAAATCATAGATATATACTAACGCTAATTAATATCGTTAGTGTCATAATTTATCTAGCAGCATTGTTTACCCAATTGAAAGAGACGAGGCTAATCAATTATTCGGTGTTTTTTTAGTAATGGCAAAACTTTTAGAAAAACAGTATAAAACTTTTGAATGGTATTCAAAATTAAAAGATCATAAAAATTCTATTAAACAAATTAATCTTGGATTATGTTATGAAAATAGTGTTAAAACTGCAGGTGAAAAAATATTTAGATGGTATTTAAATTCTGCAGAAAGAGGAAATATATTTGCAAAATATATTCTTGGATTATGTTGTAAATATTGTATTGGAACAACCAAAGATGAAGAAAAAGCATTTAATTACTTTTTAAAGTCTGCGGAAAACAATGATGTTGATGGCCAGTATATTCTCGGCCTATGCTATAAAAACGGTATTGGAATTGTTAAAGACGAAAAGAAAGCATTTGAATGGTATTTAAAATCTGCAGAAGGTGAAAACTCTAATGCACAATATGATCTTGGATATTGTTATCAATACGGCACTGGAGTAGCTAAAAATGAAAGGAAAGCATTTGAATGGTACTTAAGATCTACAGAAGATGGAAATTCTAATGGGTTATATAAACTTGGCAGATGTTATCGATATGGTATTGGAACAACCAAAAATGAAAAGAAAACTTTTGAATTAGAATTAATAGCTGCAAAAAATGATAATATTTACGCACAGAATAGTATTGGATGGTGCTATGAACATGGAATTGGAATAGATAAAGATGAGAAAGAGGCATTTAAATGGTATCTGAAATCAGCAGAAGGTGGAAATATAAAAGCACAAAACAATCTTGGATCATGCTACAGAAATGGTATAGGTACGTTTCAAAACCTAAAAAAAGCAAATGAATGGTTGCAAAAAGAGCATAATAATAAGAAAAATATGCCAGTAACTAAGTGCTATGAAAAATCAGAAATTAGTTATTTTTTAGAAAAATCATTAATTGAAAAGAAATATTTATTATCATGGATCCCGTTTAATGAACTAAAAATTAATCGAACGATTGGAAGGTGGATTTTCAACTGTCTATCTTGCTGACTGGAATGGTCAATATCTATCGGATAAGGTTGCACTTAAATTGGTTCATGAGTCAAAATATTGTTGTAAAAAACTTTTAAAAGAGGTAAAAATTCAATGTCACAGTTCTTCTGCTAGTGACAAATTATTAATTTTTTTATTGTAACAATTTACAGCTAAATATACATTATGATATTGGAAGTGAAAGCCCTACATTTTCACAATGTTATGGAGTGTCAAAACATGAACCCACCGGTGATTATATCTTAGTGATGCGTTATGCACCAACAGGATCTTTACGCAAAAATCTTGGTTCAATTGCGCAAATGAAATGGAGAGAAAAATTAAACTTGCTATTAGGTATTGCTTTTGACATTCAAATAATTCATTCTCATAATATTATTCATCGGGATTTACATAGTGAAAATATATTGCAAAAAAAATTGGATAGTGCATATATCAGTGATTTTGGAATTTCAGTATTAGTGGATGAAACATTAAACATGAAATCTGAAAAAATCTATGGTAATTTGCCTTATTTAGCACCAGAAATTTTACAAAAGCACTCTTATGAAAAAGCATCAGATATTTATTCATTTGGAATTATAATGTGGGAAATCTCTTCAGGACGATCAGCATTTTTTAACAGAGCTCACGATTTAAAACTTGCATTTGAGCTTAAAAATGGAGAACGACCAAAAATTTTAGACGGTACAGCACAATGTTACAAGGAACTTATGGAAAGATGTTGGGATAGTGATCCTAGTAAGCGACCAAATGCAGAAGAAATTTTTGAAATTATAGAAAATTGGAAAAGTAATGAAGAGATATTAAAGAAATTTGATGAATCGGATATAAAAATGAAAACTTCCATTAACGAATATGCACTATTAAAAGTTGATCCCGAAGCAAATGACAAAAGTAAGTTGATATCATATCAAAACAATTGTTTTGAAAAAGGTAGTAGGCCAGTAGATTTCTCACTAATTAGTTACAAGTTATTCGACAGCCACACTTGTGATCTTTAAGCATAATCGAAAAAAAATTTTTTATAATAAAATTTCATGCTATTATATTTTACATATTCCCGAAATAAACTTGTTTACTCAAAGGTTATATAACCACTTATAATCGGATCAATTTTGTAAATATGTTTTTTTGAAGTAATGTCATGATTATTTTTATTATATTTTGATTTCGACAGAATGTGAATAGGTTTGAAAGCTATTATGATTAATTATAATTTAACTTTCACTAATACTCCTAATAATAGTTTTTTCTAATATGATATCATTTGCAATAATTTCTATGAAACAAGTAGTTGTAATAATCCAAATTAAACCATCAACTATTGAATAATAAAACATTGAAGTTAAATTATTTGCTAAAGCTAAACTAAAATAAATACCAAAAAATAAAACCCTAAAACTTCTTCCAACTACATTAAATTTAATAGCTTGAAAAGATAAATAAAGTTTATTATAAAGAACTAAACCTACTTCAAATGATAAATTAATAATTCCTGTAACAAAAAATATTAAAAAAATTCCATCACGAGATGATGGACGAAATGAACCAAAAACTATAATTTGTATAGTATAAAAAATGAAAAAATGTAATATAAATATCGTTTTAAAAATTATTATTAAATTTTTTAAAGTTACATCATTAAATAATAAAAATTTTGGAAAAGTAACAATAGCTTCAATTAATGAAAACATTGTTACTATCCATAATGATATAATAGCTATAGAACGAGGATCAACCTTTAAAGAATTCATATCTGTCATTGCATTTAATGATACTGATGTAATAATGTAACATATAAAAGCTGATGTAGATAAAATACCTCGTTTTACAGATACGCGAACCGATTTGTTAACTATTAAAACTAAATCGATTAATAAATAAATAATTGATATAATGAATGCGAATAACATGAATAAAGCTTCAAAATATGAGTTATTGAATGGTGAAGACTTTAACATTAGATAAATCCATATTATTATGAATGATATCAAAGATATAATTTTTAAAATATTTATGACCTTTTGAATGTTTATATGCGTCGTAATAGTGGAACTGATCGAATTACGTGTAGTTAAGACTTGGGTTTGGTCGAATTGATGAGTAGTAATCGTAATCGGTGATGATGATGGTGTTAATTGTGTGTTAGCTATTACACGACCAGCCATTATTACGATATTCCAATGAGTGGACTGGGATAGAGTGAATTAAATCGTGAATTTAAAAAAAAAAATAATAACATTAATGTACAGCTATTTACATGAATGAAATACAGAATTAGGCATCGTACGACGATAATAGATAACTAAAAAAAGTAATAAAATTGACAATATATGTTTGACAAATTATGGAAAAATTTCATATCTTATTAGACGGTTTACATATAAAACTGGATACAAATTAGCCTGTATGTTATTTAAGCTAATTCATTGCTACAAATAGTGTAACAAACGTGTACTAATCAAATAACTGATAACCTTATTCCGTGTAAGATGTAATCATAATTCTTTGCAGATATACTTTATATTATTTTGGGTTAAAGTTTGTAACAATAATAAATTTGCTACGTAGCTCATTGTCAAATGATGATTGATCTGATTAATTAATTAGAATTAATTAAGTTGCCTAGTTTAACATAAATGTTTAGAATGAAATAGAGACTGCTAATTTAAAAGGTTATAATTGGTTAAAAAAAAATAAGCTATTCGGATATTTTGCAATAGTTTGCTCCCGTGTCACGGCTTGGGGAGAAACTTATGTACTTCGTAGCCAATTTAGCTTTAAGCCGTGAACATTAGGGCATTAAAAGAATGTAATTTTTATATGGTTGAGAGAGCGAATATCATATGTTTATTAAAATTTTATTAATTAGAGTTCTGCATGTTATGTATATGTTACGTATATGTAAAATCCTTCTTTTCCTCCAGCGAGGACCATCCTTTAAATACATTTTTTACAATTTCATTGTGAAAATTAGGTAATAAGCGCTAAATGTTCATTGAATGTAATAATGAAAAGAAAAATGAAAGAAATAATACGTAAGGTTCGGTAAAGTAGGAAAATGAGGTAATTATTTTAATTATTTGCAGGAAATGTAATAATGTGGTGGGAGTTATGTCGTAACTCATGTGGTGTTCGATCGGACCGATCGAATTTTGTCAGGAGACAAAATTTCCCGTGACACGTATACTGTAGTGCAAATTATCTAATCACATCAAATCTGTGCCTCTTAGATAACTTAACGGATCGTTAGTCTTTAAATTTTCTGCTGATTTTATTTTAAACTGCATCTCCTCGACGGGCGAGTGCAATTTCACAAAAAAAAAAAAATTGCATTGCTTTATAGGTCGGTCTTATTCAAGACTACAAGGTAATGGATTTTTTTTACAAAGTTCCAAATATTCATCGAAGAGTTATGATTATGGATGTCAAAGTATACATGGCAATTATGCATGTATATTAAATACGTAATTAAACAACTTATATTTAGTATCAAAAAGCTTGTTAATTATCTAAAATATTTAAAATGAATAAAGAATCAAGAAAAAAAAACGATTCTTTATATACAAATATTGAATATTATCACAATATAAGTTATTTCAAAATAAAAAAATTTAGTCATTTAATTTTTGGAAACAAAAAATGTCCATCCTTAACTTTAAACTTTACATTTCCTCCATCTTTAACAATTTGCCATCCATTTCCTAATCTCGAATGTTTCCATTTCCTTTCTTCATTACTAACACCAATCATATCTAATAATTCATTCATTTTTGTTGGCATTATTGGTTGTAATAAAATTCCTGAAATTCTAACAGTTTCAACAGCAAAGAATAATACACGATTTAACATTTCTTGTTTATCTGGATCTCTAACTAAATTCCATGGTTCATTGTCCGTGAAATGCTTGTTTGCCTTTTATGATCAAAAATAATAATTCAATTAATATAATTAGTAATTAGCGAATTAACAATAAAAGCAGTAAATATAACTCATTATGATCACTATTATGATCACTATTATGATCACTATTATGATCACTATTATAATCACTATTATAATCACTATTATAATCATTAATATAATCACTATAATCGTTATAATCATTATATTTACCTCCGCAATAGCCTCAAAAATTAATTCTAATCCTTTTCCAAATTCTACATTTTTATAATGATTATTTACTAGATCTGTATATAAAAAAATATTTAATTATAATAATCTAATTACATCAATCACGATGCAGCACGTACAATATTACCTGGTAATTGTTTTAACATTTTAATTAAGGTTATGTCTTTATCGTTTACATTCTCAATAAATGATGGCGAAAATGGTACCGTTGACGAAGGATTAAGTGCCAGCGAAGTACTACGTGACACCAGATTCCCAAGTTGTCCTGCCAAATCTTTACGATGTCGCGTTTGAAGAATAGTAGGATCGTATGCTATCATAAAATGGTATATATAATTGAAAAAATTTTTCTTTATATAAAAAAATTAGAAAATTTTTAAAAATTCTACCTCCATCATCAGAAATGCCACCATCTCTCATTAAATAATAACGAATGGTGTCAACACCGTACTCTTTCATAACTGTAAATGGATCAACAACATTTCCACGACTTTTAGACATTTTATGTTTATTCATCATCCAATGTGAATGTGCCAAAATCTTTTTTGGAAGTGGTAACTTTGCAGCCATTAAAAAGGCAGGCCAATAAACTGCATGAAATCTTTGAAATATACAGATAATCATATATGGGTATTAATTTAATTTAATAATAGAATATAGAATTGACAAATTTATTTACCGTATTATATCTTTTCCAACAATATGAACATCAACAGGCCAACCACTCATCGAATGTGAATTTTCTTGAGATTGCCAAGGATAGCCAGTAACAGTCAAGTAATTAATTAATGCATCCAACCAAACATATATCGTTTGATTCGAATCTTTAGGTACAGGGATTCCCCAATATAATCTTGCTTGAGGTCTAGACACTGATATATCAACCAAATCACTTTTAATAAAAGCTTTAACTTCGTTGAAACGATTTGATGGTGTAATTACTAATTAATAAAAAAAAAACCAAAATAAAATAAAATAAAATAAATGGAAGGATTATAATAGATGATGATTCAAAATAAAAGGTGAGGGTCATACCATCCGGATTCTCATCCAACCATCTTAATAATTCATCTTTACATTTTGAAAGACGAAATTTGTAATTCTCTTCTTCAGTCCATTCAACCAACTGTCCAGATTCCAATACACTCTATAAAAGATATATAATTAATTGTTTCCATCAGAATTAGACTTTATAAAGACCAGATGTAAATGATTTACCGCAATTTTTTCATCCGAATTTGAAATTTGTAATTGTGACGCGTTATAAAAAGCTTCATCAGAAACTGAATACCAACCTTCATGAACACCTTTATATATATATCCATTATTAACAAGTTGTTCCTAATATTTAAAAATAAGTTAATAATGTATAGTATTATAAGACCTTCACTAATAGAATATCAAACTTACCCAAAAAAACTTTACCGCGTCTTTATGCTTCTGTTCTGTTGTACGTATAAAAGTAGTGTAACTTATATTTGCCATATCAAAAAGTTCCTGCATTATCAAAAATATATTATTTTATATTGCAAAATAACAGAGATCTAATACATCATATAATTAAATAAATAAATTCATACACGAAATCTTTCAGATACATTATCACAAAATTCTTGTGGACTTTGATTCACTTTTGCGGCAGCTTGTTGAATCTACATTGTAAAATAATTATAACTATTATGAATATAAGTATTTATATTGCTAACAATTAAAATAATATTTTTTTGATAAATTACTTACTTACCTTTAATCCATGTTCATCAGTTCCTGTACTAAGTATAACTTTTTTATCATTAAGTTCATAATATCTTTTAAGACTATCAGCTATTACGGCAGAATATAAATGACCAATGTGTGGTACTATTTCAAAATTACATCAAATATATTAGAAAAT